ATACTGAACCGTGATTTTTGTGTACTGTTACACCCCTACTCTGTGGAGATGTTACTGCGACTCTTCACAGATCTGAATTGTATTGTAGCATAGTGCTGTCACATGCTTGTCTCCCTTGTGTGTGTAGACAGGTTTAATCTGTACTGTGGAACATTTTAGACAAAGCAATAATTTTTCCATGGAGTCAAGTAGGTGGCAGACCCTGCACTAGAAATGTTACAGAGTGCACCTTTAAGCCTCTTGGTTGGATAATGTGTTAATAAAATGGAAATTTGATATTTCATCAATTTAAAACATGGCCTGCAGAAAATGTAAGTAGCTTGTGTTTGGATTATTTAGTTTGGACCATGACCAGTCTCTTGATTCAGGATTGCTCATTCTTTGTCAAAACTAATGAATTTCAAAGGAACTCAGATTCAAAGCCTTTCCTGTTACAAGACCACTACATCTTTGAGCCACACTGAAAGACTTGTAATATTTTCAGCAATAGATAAAACTTGTATACCGTTTTAAGTATAGTGAAACAGTGAATTTATATTGTACATTGAGATAAAAAGAATCTCCCATGACAACAAGGCCATGGAAGACATTACAATTTTAGCGTTGGTATTCACTCGGGGACAATATATTTTCTGGGGAGCAGTCAGTGGTCGAGTTTAACGAGTGCTATGACTGCTAAATCAAATGACTTGCTCTGCTTCCAAAACACAGACAATCTTTCATGGAGAAGAACAAAAGACCTGCCAACAGCTGAGAATGCTTCAGAAAATGTCACTGAAAATCACGTTTGTAGCACGTGACGCTCGTGGCCTCTCAGATTTTACAAGCAAAACTCTTACCAGGAACAAATAAACATGTAGACACCACTGGGAGAGCACACTTAGACAGCGGGGTGAGTGTTATTTTTAAGCCCCTCTTTCCACTGACCACTGCAGACCACAACAACTGAGCTCATATAACTGTGCTGAGGTGGTCTCACTCTGACAAACAGGTCCCGGGAGTGCCATGTGTCCAGCCAGGGTCACTAGGGTCTGTGCATAGACTGGCCTCAGACTTGCAATCAAAGCTCTACAGTGAAGGAGGCTAAATACACAAAAATGGACAAGACAAATGAAATAAAAGAAAATATAAAGTAGATCTCCACCAAGGCATGGCACTGCATATAGCAAAGGTGAAGATATTGTACCCTAAACATGAATTTTGGAGGGTCATTAAACCTTTCTATCTTCATGGAAACCAAACTAGACCAAGTTACCAGTCGGATCTGTAAAGAAGCAACCCCGCTCGCTGTCAAAATGTCTGTTTTTCTAGGTATTTTTGAGCTATAAAACCATCTGTACTTGCAGAAATGTAATTTAGAGCTGTTTAATATCATACTGTGGAACATTCCAGGCAGAGCAATGGCATATCCACAAAAATATCCTCAACCAAAAAGCACACCTTTAATAAAACATGAGATTTACAAAGATTTAATTCACAACCCTGACTTGTAACCTTAACCTTTTAATTAAGTTGTTACTAAGCCTGAATCATTCTTAATGATTTCATTCTTTTCTTCATTTTACTAAGGCGAATGACTGTGCAGTTATTATAAAGTTGTACCCAATTTTCTGATTTAGTTCAGGGGACAATTAGCCAGGCTGGCACCATCTAGTGCCTCTGCTCTATTTCATTTTTCTTTGGCGACTAGGTCAGGAATTGGAATGCACTAGACAGTTTGTAAGAAGCTTAGAAGTTGTAGACCATGCACCAGGCAATCAGCGAAAAGCTGTGAAGTCATGATGTCAAACTCAAGCACCTGTCCGGGTCCCTTTTGTGGTACAGCACAACAGTAAACAAAGAGATCGAGAGGAATGTAGACGAAGCCATACATTCTGTGTTGGCAACGATTCCCGAGATCGAGGATTTAAAGCCGGAACAAAGAGAATGTTTGGTGAATTACATCAAGCAGAAAGACATTATTACCCTTCTTCCTATGGGATTTAGTGCATTACATACGTCACTACCAAATAGCTCCAATTGGTTAAATAAAAAAAGTACTAGGCTAGGGGAAAATGCTCTCTTCACTTCACTCTTCACTTTCCACTGAGTTTCAGAACCTCTTTTACAATGCTCTAAAACACAACATATACACAACTGTAGTGTATAACAACAAAACAATACGTACGTGAAATCTATTTTATTAATTTTACAGTTATAACCATTTTTAGCTTTATGTATTTTAAGATGTTTTTATTTATGATTTACTCTATTTTAATGGAATTTGTCTGAGTTTGGGAACTGTAAACTGTCATCTTTATAAAATATGCTATATTAATAAAGTGGATTGGATTCAATGTGTTTATATATGTTTTCTACCCTTCATGTTTTACACTGTACAGTAACAGTGGCCCTTTCATCTTTCAATATACAGGCCGAACCAGCATCAGCAGCAGCATCTGTCACAGCCACTCTGCGTAATATAGCTGTCATAATTTGGTATGTGGCGTTATAAATAAAGAATATGGAGCCAGTGTCAGAGGGTAGATTTTCAGGGCAGCTGGTAAATCTATTGCTGTGATGATGGTGAGGTTTTGCACGTGAATGTACAATAGTGGGTGGGAATTATGATGACTCAATCTTAAAGTAGAGGTGGTCCCAGGCAGGAAAAATAAAAGAATTCCCTACCCTAATAACTAAAGTGATGATGATGTTAAAGACTATACCATTCAAGAGACCTAAGGGAGTAATATGAACCCAATGGGCCAGGCAGCATTTATATAATTAATCATATTTTTTTACATTTACCTCAACTTAAACCTCCTAAAACTAAAAATTATATGACTAATTTTAGTATAAAACAGGTGCTTACTGGATTAAACCAAAAAGGTCAAAACAAGGCTCTAAACTAGATTTAAACCAGGAACACCAGAACCCACATTTAAAGCTCCTATATTACACAACTTTGACTCCTCCATGTTGTTACCTCATCAGAAACACACCCAGAGTTGTTTTGTCTCATTCACACATGTTTGAGTAATCCTTTATTTAGTCTGCCTACATCTTAAAAGCTCAAAATTCTTTGTTCCACCTTGTGATGTCATGTACTGGTTTTCAAGTTAACAGATATCTTTTACATTTAGTTCAGCTAGGATTGGCAATTCCAGTGCTAAAATCATCCAAATGATTCTAGTGAAGGTGTGTGGCATTTAAAAACACAGTGTATTCCTTCCTGTATTACCATATGACATCACAAAGTGGAACAGAGTGAGAAGAACTCGGCCTAAATATTTTGGGTTTGTCTGTTAAACATGTTTCTAATGAGGAAGCAACATTAAAACATCAGAAAGTAGCTTAATATGGACCTTTATAAAAAACTTATCAAATCAAAGCTGGTACAACTACACTCACGTCTAACTAGCTCTAAGGAGGTCTACATAGGTGTAAACCTGGGTCATCCATGCAATGCTTAACCTGAATCATGGCATGCCTTTAAATCTTTATAACTACAGCAGAAGTTAAACAGGAATGGCTATACATTTCTCTGAGGATCCCATGCACGCCTCCCACAGTTTGAGAACCACTCTTATAGCAGATGTAGTGAAGCAGCAGGTAGCCGAGGGAGCTGTCCAAATGGATAACAGCTCTTGAGGTAAGCCAAGCATAAGAGACAAGAGAGCAAAGACATTCAGGTCAAAGCTGACAGATGAGATAAGTATGCTTGTGCATATTATTATAATGTTTAGATGATTAATGGGCCCACATTATGCTATTTTATGATCTATGTTATAATGGGTTTCAAAAACTTACCCAGAGCTGTGTTTTGTTTAATTCACAAAATGTTTAACACACAAACCTTGAATATTTAGGCTGAGTTCTTCTCTCAAACAGAAAACCCTCTGTTCCACCTCTTGATGTCATGTAGTGGCAATACAGGAAGTGCTCTACAGTTTTGTTTTTTGTTTTTTTTAACTCCATACGACTTCACTAGAACTATCTGAATGATTTAACCAAACTAGCAAACTTAAGAAAACAACAGTTACATGACATCACAAGGCAGAACAGAGCATTTTGAGCTTTAGAGATATAGACAGACTAATAATAAAGGATTACCCAAACGTGTGTGAATGAAACAAAACACAAATCCAGGTATGTTTTTGAAAAGGTAACAGCACTATGACATTGCTTAAAGCTCACAAGATTCAATGTTGTGTAATATAGGACCTTTAACAAAGAATATGTTATGTGAAATAAGGCTGTTTTGTATTGCATTTTGTAGCTTTGAAATAGCAGGCATAGTTTCATTTCTCAGCCCGGACAGGAATTTCTTGTAGGAGTTAACCATTCTTTTAACATGGTATGAAGCACTCTCAATTTGAACAACTGTGTAACTGTATCTGTAACTGATGCCACTATCGTTTACTCCATATACTCCAGCACTACACAAGTCAAACTGAGATGGGACAATAATTAGGTGATCATTTCCAAAGGTTGCCCTGGAAACCCCAGATTATGTCTTTGTTTCCCTAAGATGAGGTGCAACAGTTTCTATATAACATTGAGGCTTTGGGCCACAGATGGTCTGAGGTGTGAACCAGTGGAAAGGAGGCTGCAGGGCAATAAGCAGTGCCATATATGTGCATCTCACCTGCTTCTGCTACAATGCACAAACACTAACTGTTTGCAAAAGGTGAACACCATATTGAACTTTTAGAGCCAGATTGAATGTAAAGTAAAACAATAGGTAATGATTAGTATGAGTAAGGATTGGAAGAGGCCATGACTAAATCTGAACTATAAACTGAAGAATATCATGGCACCATAATTTCTTTTTGCACAAGGATGAAACCAAGTCAAGACCAAAACTGATCATTCACCAAAATACTGTTGTAGACAAAATGATTTGGGACCTGACAAAGTCTAAACCAGGACCAACTGGAAACTAAAACAATGCAAGATGAGGAGTAGGCCACATCTAAACATTTTTATGTATTGTTTTTGTAGAAACCAAAACCACTTACTTGTGTCTTGACATTGGTTTGTTTGGCAGGTGCTGGGGGGTCAGTCCAGCCTTGTACAGGTTGTATCTGCTTCCATAGTAAGGGTTGACATGTCCTCCATAATAAGTCCCTTTACTGTGCACCAAAGTTAGAAGTGCTCCTAAAAGCAACAGCTGTGCAAAACACGACCTGGTCCTCATTTTGTGTGGTGGTTAAAGCCTAAACAAATCCAAGAACAAGCTGAGCAAAGTTGCAGAAGTTGTAGAGTCTTCTTCATAGGTCCCAGATGGAGATAGGGAGTCCAAACAGTCGATGCACCAGCAGCATCTCCTCCAGCTCAGTGATTAGGATGTGGCAAAATGAATAGTCCATAGGCAGATGAGAGGAGGAGAAGAGTGCAGAGAAGAGGTGTGCAGGAGGTGGGGGTGCAGGGTCCAGTCCAGAGTGTGTCTAAACTGGGAGCTGTATGCGTGCATGGGACAGGGGCAGAGTAGTGCTCCTGGAGTGCTCTGAGAGAGTGAGAGCAGCGTGGAGCAGCACTGAGCCTAAAGGGGCAGGCTGACAGCATTTGCATAGCCCTCCCCAAACTCCAGCCCTCCACGTGCAAGGACAGGGGGGAGGCTCCTGCTCTGGTCCCAGATAGTAACCCCAAAATATGTGCAAACGTGGACCTGAATGGTGGTTTTAGGGTGCTCATATCTGTTCATAATCAAAGTTTATACAATTGGTCAACACTTTTAATTGTTTAGTGGGGCCATATTATTTGATTTTCTGATCTATGTTAAAATTGTTTCCTCATGAAAAACATACCTGGAGTTAACACACAAACCCTGCATATTTAGGCTAAGGTCTTCTCTCAAACAGAAAACACTGTTGTGATGTCATGTAGTAAAACAGGAAGTGCTCCAATGTGTGTAAACTTCATACACTTTCATTAGAATCCTCTGAATGATTTCAACCCTGGAATTAAATGAAACAGAAAACGCACACCAAAGTTCTTGTAGAGGTGCAAATACAAGGAACAGCAAAATAAAAATGAAAAAACGCATAGCACTGTCTCTCCAACCAGATTTTAAAATTTAAAAAAGCTTTTGGACATCGGCCATCTGAGTGTGCTATGCATTTTTTCACTTTTATTCAACCCTGGAATTGTCATTGTCAAATGTCTCAGAAATAATGGGAAAAGTCACTATTAACGTGAAAACTACTGCTGCATGACATCACAAGCATCTTGAGATTTGGCGATGTAGACATACTACTTATAAAGGCGTGTGAATGAGAAAAAAACAAAAACAAAACACAATTCCAGGTATGTTTTTGATGAGGTAACAACATTATAACATGGCTTAACAAGAAGTATTTTGGGTAATATACGACCTTTAAACTATTATCCCCAAGTGTGATTTATTACAATGTTTAAATTCAGGCTCTAAGCAGTTCTGTTTAGCTGTGCATATGACTGAAAGGTTTTTATTCAGTACTCTTCTCTTTTAATGTTAATTTTATGATGATTATTTATGTTTTGATTTTCTTTGTATCATTGTATGTGAGTTTAATGTCTTTCTATTTCTGTAAAGCAGTTTTGAATTGCTTGGTGTACAAATTGTGCAATACAAATAAACTGGCCTTGCCTTGCCAAATGAGTTACTAGTCTCGTAACTTCTGTGGTTTCCCTTATGAATATTTAAGTAGATATTAATCTCATTGTGGGGACTAAAATCTGTATACACACTCACTTCTGCTAGGTTGAGGTTAGGCAACTATGGTTAAGGTTTAGATCAGTTTCCAGGAAATCAGTGCAAGACAATGTCCCCCAAATGCATGGAAAATATTATTATTTTTAGAATCTGTTGTCCATTTTGCCCAATAAAGTTATAGATTAGGCCAATTGGCTCTGTTTCTGCAATCAAAGATCAGAGATACCAAGGAGAGTTCTGTGTCAATCAGTATCCCATTTCTGAATTTTTTTTTTTTGTTTTGTTCTAAAGAGCCATGCTAATCTACTCTGTATGTTTTTAAAGGTTTAATTTTAGTATGTTAGCAAACAGTGATTGCTTTTGATGCTTTTGCTTTTATTATTTGATTTTGCTTTTATTAATTTCAGATTTTTTTTGTTTCCCATGACCTTATCTATGGCAGATTTAACAGCATGGTTCATTAAAGGTGCACTATGCAACTTTTTGATTGAGGGTCCATCACTTGCTTGTTTCTATGAAGATGTCACTGCTCTGCCTGGAGTACACCACAGTATGACATTAAACAGCTCTATCTTACATTTATTCATATACGAGTGTTTTTATGGCTCAAAAATACCTAGAAAAACAGGCATTCTAACTGTGAGTGGGATAGCCTCTCCACAGATCTGACCTGTAACTTTGTCTGGTTTGGTCTCTATGATGGTAGAAAGGTGAAACATTTCAGACAAAGCAACAACATCTCCAAGGAGAAAAGCATTTGACAGACACTCCACCAGAAAAGTTACACAATGCACCTTTAACGGGTTAAAGCGTTGAAAAAGACTGACCTCTGGTGTCTCCTTACCCTGAAGTGGACTCATTAACATAGTCTATTATCACTAAAGTCTTTGGTACACATGCAACTAGACACTTACTGTACTGGACACAGCGTATTAATTCAGGAGGGTGAGATAAAGGCTAAAAGAAGTTATTTTTTACATTTTATGGTAACTGTCTTGCACTCCTGATACCAGTGTAGTGCAATGTCTGCTCTACATCATGACATAACAGTTTTATTAAATACATCACAAACAATCAGTCATTTTATGGGTGCACTGTCCAGAGGGAGAAACTTTAGGCTTTCCTCTGAGACATGTGAGATAACAGCTGTCCGCCAGAAAGACCACAAGACACTACAGACGTAGAGATGCTTTGATTTGGTCCATTCTTGTAAATTTTTGATTATTTTTTTCATTAATAATTCATAATTGGATTAACGTTTTTACTTTGAAAATCTTCCACACTTCTTTGAAATATTTCACACAGCTGTCCACCAGAAAGACACGTAGTTACTGCTAGCTGTTTTTGTCCAAATCTGGATCACTTTCCGAATCCTGTATTAAACCAAACCAAAGGGCCCATAAGGTTGTCAAAGCGGAGCATACCATGGACGGAGATAAAAGCAGACTATTCCGAGCTTTTGTTGAAGTCTAACCTCACAGTCTGATGGATGGCACATTGTGGACTGTAGCTCTTGTGTGATCTTTAGTGTTTTGTTTTCACACTGGCCTGAAAATGAGGAGTTTGTAGAGAAGAGCAAATGGTGCACTGTCCTCACTCGGGTGAAAAGACCACAGCTCAAACAAAGGGTCAATCCTGGACACCTGCCCCGGACTCCATCTCTGTCTGCTCTCGTCTGTCAGGGTGATGGAGAGGGGGGCGGGGCTTTCTGGTAACTTAAACCCGAAGTGGAAAAGTGCAAACGAGTCAAGTAGGTCATTATTTCACCGTAAAAGAACACGTAGATACTCGAGTGTATAGTACCCGAAGTAGACTTTGTAGCAAGAAATAGTAGAATTAATAGTAATAGTAACAGTAAAGTAAAACAGCACAAATAGTTAAAGAAATTATGGTATACAGATTTCTTCTATTGGCTAAAAGTCCTATATTACATCAAATTGATTCTTTTCAGCTTTAAGCCATGTCAGAATATTGTTACCTCATCAAAAATAGACCAGGAGTTGTGTTTTGTTTTGTCACACATGTTTGAGTGACCCTGAAATATTAGTCTGTGTACATCTCCAAAGCGCAAAATGCTTCATTCCACCTTGTGATGTCATATAGTGATAGTTTTCAAGTGAACAGCTCCTTTTACCTTTCGTTCAGTAGAGATAGGCAATTCCAGAGCTAAAATTATCCAGATGATTCAAGTGAAGGTGTGTGGAGTTTAAAACCACAGTGGAGCACTTCCCATGACATCGCAAAGTGAAACAGACTGTCTTCAGTAAGGGTGTGCAAAAATATTTAAATATCGATATATCATATAATTTAATGTGATCATACAGTATTGATATCATGGGATGCAGTATTGATATATCACAAAGAGTATTTTTTGGTATGTTTTACTAAATTATTTTATTACAGAGCTACAGTTTTGTTGATTGTTTAGTGAAAGGAAACTCATTTATGCGACACGGTTGATATTTTCATTGTTTTGATGTTTAAAATGTTTGTGTTTCAAAATAAACTTTGCACAAGAAGTGGTTAAACAAAGACTTTTAGTATCACAACCATGATTTAGACTTTATTTTTTACTGAACCATTTTAAATCAATTTGAAATTTATCGTATCATATCGAAAGTGCACTGTATCGAGGTATGTATCGTATCGGCAACTTCTTAATGATTCCCAGCCCTAGTCTTCAATTTGAAAGAAGAACTCAAATATGTCTAAATATGCTGGACTTGTGTGTTAAACATGTGTGATTGGAAAAAAAAAAACAAAAACATAGCTCCAGGTATGTTTGTGATGAGGATCAGTTAAATACGCCAAAATAATACCATTAAATATACAAATAATACCATTAAATATACAAATTAATGCTAATAATTATTGTATTATTTTTCCATTCTGTCGTAATCTAGTTTTTGGGTTAATGTTACTGTTTTAAAGTAACAAACCCTAGCTTTCAGGGTCTTTCTGAGAGAGAGAATTAATCACAGGTGGCTAACAATAACATTTGAATGAATTAATTTTTAAACTGTGACCGAGGTGAAACAGGAGGAGGTCCATTGTGTCCAGACTTTAAGCATCTGAGCGCAGATGCCTCACAGCTGCTACCTAAGCAGATGCAGAGCTAAAAATGTATTAGTTTGTTTTGGGGAGCAAGATACCACTTTTCCTTTGTTTTTCCATTGTTACAAATATATAGGACCTCACCACGTTCTCCCTTAATTCTTAAAAAGCAGTGTCTACCACTTTGACCTTAAAACATGCAATAAACCAGGTTGACAACGCTTAGGAATTGCAAATAAAACCATATCTTCTTCACAATGGACGTTAAGCGCCCAACAGGTTATTTTAAAAGAAATATGGCGAAAGGAAATGTTTCATTCATCAAAATGTGTGGGGAAACACAGCCTTGTTTGTAGAAATGTCTTTAAATAACACACCACAAGAGCAGCCATTTTTGGACAAAGCTGGTCAAATATGGGCACTTTACTGGGGTCAGGGGGACCTTCCTGTGATGGAAACTGCAGTATTTTCCACAAAAGCAACAGGAGGATATGAACTCATAAAGACGGAGGTGTGGGAAAGGCAAAGCATTTCAGCGCACACATGAACGCTCTCCTCTCCTCCACTTCACTCAGGATCTGTGTCCATGTTGTGGTCAGTGTGTGTCAGGTATGCACCACTGTTTACAGTCTGAGGCCACACAAATAAAGACCTAAGAGTGTAAACAGCACACACAAAACACACATGAAAGAGTAGTGCGGTCTCCCAGGCCAGACTAAAGTAAACTGTGTGTTACAAAAATAGA